TCGGAAGAAATTACGAACCTATCAAGTAGGAGATGAAGTAATGTACAAGCAATTTCAGGGACCAAAGAAACTGAAACAAAAATTCAAAGGACCATATAAAGTAATAGAAAAACAAGGAGACACCACTTATAAAATATTAAGAACAGATAAAAAGGAAAAAATGAGACGAGCGCATAGTAACCAACTCAAGCCGTACTTTCATAGAAATTTAATCAATTTAGTAACAATTTTAAGCATACTCACACGAGTAGAGATGCTAGAAATTTCTCCTTTCATTAGTGGTGAACCTATTCTATGGAGAAAAACTGATTATCACCCAAGAAAATCAGCTCAACAGGTCTCTGTTATACTAGCATTTTCAAACCCATGTAAAGAAATCCCAATCGTTCTAAAAACAGACAAGGAAAGAAATGAATCCATTACATGAGTATAATCCAGCCATGTGTAAATTAGTAAGGAGATTTCTAGACAAATTTGAAGACCATTGTTCATCATTTATTGATGAAAATTACATAAATCCTATTCGTAATATACCGAACGTAACAACCCAACCAGAAGAAAATATTATAAAAATAAGACGAGAAATAATCACTCTGGGAACTGTAGCCACCACAATAATAGTTGGTGGAATAGTAATTAGTGGCGTTAACTATTTATATAAACACATTTTCCCTCCCGAAATAGAAATACAACCAGTACTAACAGCCATCGCAGAGTCTAACCAAGAATATAAGAAGTTGATAAAAAAACAGTTTGAACAATTACATAATGTAAGCCAACAACTGTTTTATATTCAATTCGATGTGAATCAACTGCCTCAATATTTACCAATATTAACATTTCAAGCCGCCGATACAGTAACGCAAGCAAATAACCAACTTAACCAATTAAAACATTTTAATGAAACCATTAGAGAAGCTAAACCAAGGATTGATAAGAATTTCTTTAAATTCTTCAAAATTATTTTACCATGCTCACCAGAATGTTCATTAGATGAAATTGAAAATGTTAATGTAAACGTATACAATAACGAAAGATTTCCAACATTAATGATAAATTTTACAACATTTTTACGAGATACCACTAACCAAATATTTCAAGCAGATGCATTTACATTATATAATAAAATAATACACACTTGTAAAGTTACATATAAAGGTCCAGAATATGTATTAGTCAACATCACTGATTATCGATTCTGTGAGATTAGCGAGAAGGATTTGAAAGGTCATAATCCTATTTTTAAGAAAGTATCGAATTGTAAAGAAAACTTGAAGAAAATTGAACTTTGGAAGAATGAAGTTTGTTTCAGCAATAGCCCTAATGTCACCACATACGCAGAAACGATTCAAGTTAAACAAATGGGAGAGCAGTATTTAATACATTGTGCAGGACACCCAATTACTTTATATAGTAATATTAAATATATTTGTCCAAATAATGTGATAAGATTATCAAAATATACCAATTTTACTATCGATGACCTAGAATATACAGTTCAAAAGTTCCAAATTCACAGTCAAGGTTCACCGGTATCAGAACATACACATGCAATCAATTTACGATTAACTCAACCATCGGCTAAAGAATTACAAATTGAACCACTTGATTTCACATTAATCGATGAAACTCAAGAGAAAATTGAAACAAGTATCAATCACCTTAAAATCAATTGGAAAATGAATGTACCAATGTGGATTTGGATACTTATTAGTATTACCATCAGCTTCTTGTGTTGTGTTATTGGTTGTAGATTAATCCCTTATCCAAAAAGATCAATAAACTCTGTGATAGTTGCTAGAGAAAATAAGGAAAATAAGGACGTTATTATACCTTTACATCAGTGTTATTAATACAATTAAAATCAATGCTCCGGTGCTGGGGCAGGTTTTCGAATTTCTCCGGTGATGGAGATAAAATTACTAATGATAATGATAAATTATTTGGTAATGGACATACAATTAATAAAATGAAAATGTTCTTTTCACCCGGTGATTGGGTTTTCGAAGTTCTAATGATAAAAGTTTAATTAACCCGGTGATTGGGTATTAAAATTTAAATTTATGATAAAATTTCAATCAACCCGGTGATGGGTAATTTAATACTTATTATTCAAAACTCCGGTGATTTGGGGTAGATGAATAATTGAAATTCTCTTCTTTCTTTTCTTTCCTTTACAATTAGGATGGAAGAAGATTGGAATAAAACAAACGCTCCTCCACATCCAAAACTACTCGCTTTTCAAAAGAGTATGGAGAATTTAAAGATAAAATCAAAAAATAATCATTCGACAACAAATAAACAAACACAATTAACGAACCAGAATGCAAATCAATTTAGATTAATTTCAACAGCATCAATATTCAGAAAGTGTTACTTAATCCTCTCAATCTTTGCATCAAAATATACCAATTATTATGGTCACGTTTGGAGACCAGAATTAGTGTCGTCAGAATATGAAATAAGTGGTACACCCAAGGAAATGAACAAATACACAAAACTAACGGTAACAGCAAATCATCCAGATAAATTAGAGATCGCTCATCACAACCTGGTTAAATATACAGAAAATCTACGTAGACAAAACAGCAGAAATTCAACACAAGTAAAACTTTTTCATTTGCCCGAAAAACATTGTTCCCTATGTTTTAGACTTGAGCACACAAAAATGAATTGTAATTTTTGTTCATATTGTAGTGAATTAGGCCATTTTAGAAGAGATTGTCCTGAGTTACCTTTTAAAACTGATCATCAAATTAATATAAATATGGTAAAGTTAACTCCAGAAAAAAATTCACGTATAAAAGAACAAAGGAGAACTCGACGACGGGAGTTAAGGTCAGCATATGGAGGAAAGCCTTGGTGGAAAAACTTGAATAACCCGATTGCCGAACACCTAGAAAAATATATCCCAATTGGTCCGAAAAATAATAAAAAAGATACCTTGGCACTTGATATTGAAGGTGATGGTAATGGTGGTGTTGGTAGTGTTCATCTTTCAGGCTGGTTTGGAAATCAAATAAGAATCCAAACCGTATACTACGCACAGGTTAAAAATGAAAATATAACGAATCCATTAACTAGAATTACAGGTTTACAAATTAATGACATCTCATCTGGATTATCCTTAGATGAAGTCTCAATGCAAGTTGCAGAACTATCCATCGGCAGAAGACTAATAACACAAGGAAAAGATGATCTACACAAGTTAGGCCTAACCCCAGACAAACTCAAGAAATATTTTATTGAACACTTAGATCTTCAGGACCTTTGGCCAGGTAAACAACCCATAGGATTAGTCTCCCTGGACAAATTCCTATTCCACGATCATCAAAAACTTCGACGAGAAGACACATCACATGTAACAATTGGCCATTCACCAGAAAGAGATGCTCGTGTTACCCTTAAGGCGTACATGCAATTATTAAAACTAAAGGAAAATAATATCACTATCCCTCCAGCTGAGGTCGTAAGAGAAATGGTAAAAAATGGACAGACGATACAACATTGGCTTGAACATGAACAGTCAAAACCATCATATAAAATTATCAACTTTTAATAATCATACACTTAATAATATTTAACAAGTTTTTTTTACCTTGTAAATAATGTCCGGTGCTGGGCAATTTTATATTAATAATAACTAATTTATTATTGTAAATCAACGAGGACGTTGATCTTTTCTATGTACCCCCGAAGAACTGTAACCAAACTGGTTAAACAACCAGTTTCTTTTGTTCAACCAGGTACCACCTCTCACGTGGTACCTGGTTCATTCTATTGGTTAAAATTTTGGTAAAGATGAAGAAGGTGAGTGAGACAATTCTCTCCCTCACCACCAATATAATGGCCGATTTTCGGCCATTTTCCTTATGGAGATTTTGGGTAAAGTAACCCTGTTTTCGTAACAATAAAATTACCTTTTGTTAAGTGCTTGTTTCTCTCCAGTTGTTTCATTTAATGTTTACAACCAAATTAACAGGATGTTTATTGTTGGCTTGGCTTAATTATCACAATTTAAATCATCATTATCATCAAACAATTACCAATGAAAGTTAAATCATCAACAATTACGAGGATCAGATGATTTAATTTCATTTTTTTTACTTCTATTATTTCAATTACAATTAATATTACAACTTCTTCAAGGTTTTCATCGTCTTTTGATTGTGTTATTTAAATGGCAACAATTAGTTAAATTGTTTACCAAGTTTCCAATCTTGATGATGTAAATAATTTTACCATCAAAGGCTTCAATTGATGATAATTAATTGATTTGTTTAATTACTTGTTAGATTGTCATTGCTTAGGATGAATCAATAATCATCATCTAGCTGATTAATTGTGATTAACATCACTTTAAGTGCTCTAGATTGTAATGATTAAAAGTTTCCAATGTTTCTTTCAAGGTAATTAACTGGATGATGAATAAATTGTTTAGGATAATTAATCAGTAATTGTTTAAACTACTCATCATTTAATAGGATGATTATGGTAAAGTGAAACAAGTCAAACCAATTAAGTTTGTCACTGGACAGATACAATTAAATTGTTGCCAATTAACCTTTTCAAAAGTCATCACAATTTAAACAATTTAAGGTTAATTTTAATATTCAATTTTTATCATTAAAACTTAAATTAATTAGTTAATTAGATTAATATTAATACAATAATGTTCACTACTCATTGAATGAGTAAAAGTAATTATTGTTTCAACAATTAGCACGAAAACTATTTCAACGTCTGAGACTCGTTCATACAACAATTAACGTAGCAATTAACTAATAACTTTCATTTTTCTTATTCTAATTACTTTCAATATCATAGAAATACTTAATCACTATTAAGAGATGAAAAGTCCACTCATTTGAATGAATATAATTCTGAATCGAATATGATATTTACAATTAACTAATTAGTTATTTTGGCGGATATTTTTTTCTCAATTCTATCGAGGTAATTAGCTAATTCGTAAGGCTTACAAGCGGTAATTAACTTACCTTCATTTGTTGTTCCAATTCATCGAGTGATTCTTGAATCCAATTACTTTCAACATGACACAAGTACTTAATCACAGTCGCGAGATGAGAAACGGACAAAACAACGGCCAAACAACGAGCCTCGAGTAGCCGAGCGTCTCCATTGTACATGGACTGGACAACATCATCGACACGTGGAGATATTTTCTGAGCGATTCTAATGATCTCCCATAATTTCCGCTGTTGGTCATCTTGATGATAACTATTGAGAGCGGCCATTGTTGCCTCAACAAGCCGACCAGTCAAATGATGGCAGGACTTAAGGATAGCCAAACAATGAGGTATTAGTCCGGTAACATCATCGACCCAACGAGCATCGGCCAAAATTTTATCGATCTCCGGATGAATGGCAACATCATCGAGCTCAATTGAATTTGATGGACCAAGTGAGTGACCATTAACTGTTGTTTTCGATGAGGATGAAGATGGACCAAGAAGACCAGCATCAGGAGTAGCATCGGAGGACAAATTTTTGAATAAAAAGTCACGTCGGCAGTAACGTTGTTGACAGATGACAATTAGAGCTGCAAGTGAACCAAGAAATATTAAAATTAATATTCCAATGGCAAAGATAACAACAGTTTCCATTGGCATTTTCAATGACCAATCAATGGTCAATGTGGTCAGTTAATCAAGAGTAAACTATTCAATACTTATTATATATAAGAAAAAAGGTAAAAGTGACCAAAACAGAAATGATAACAAAACGATTAACCATAAAAGTGACGGGAACAGGGAAAAGTAAATTGTCAATAGTTAACTGATTATATTCACTATTTGGTTACTTGATGTTCACACCTCTGGTTACAGTTGAAGGGACACAATTAATCAACGATTATCAAGCTAAATTGTATGTGAACGTTTAATTGTGATAATCAAAGATGAAACATTTGAAACTTGTATCACAATGTTTAAGGTGTTTACCTTTTTTCTTATGAGTTTATTTCTAGCGTCAGGTAACCGATCATCCTAATCATCATTTCCAGTTTTCCCAAGGAGAAGGAGAAAGTTCAACGATCCTCATCATCTTCAGGGTAAAAAAATGACCTTTGTGGTTGGTGGCCGTTCCCTCTCTTTCTTTTTCTCTTTCTTTTGGTAACTTTTCTTTTCTCAAAAAGTCCAAACTGGTTTAGAAAAACTTTCACATTTCTCTTGAGTATTTATATTATCATCATCTTCCTCTAACTTGTAATCATCTTTCAAACAATTTAAACTAAATTACTCTAAACAATTGTAGAATCATCTCTCTTTGGTCAGTATAATGGCCACTGGTCAGTTTCTTTCATTTTCATTCAGGATCAATTTTTGTAGCATTAATTGTTTTCTCATCATAAATATGAATCGATCATTAGTTTTACTCTTAATTGTGAGTTTCCAATTAGTAAAACTTTATCATAAATAATTAACTTCGCGTTATTACTTTTGATTATTTAGTGGATTAGTTTTTCAGATTAATTTTCACTCTCGTTGATCAGTTAATCACATTGATAAGTAAATAATCAGTTTTGTTGTTGTTGTTGTTGATTAAGAAAATCTTATATTTAAAATAAGTGTATTATTCAAATAGTCCAATTGAATGGTTGAAGATTTGTCATTTACAATACAATTGAATGAAAACTTTTCAAATGTTTTTGTTTTTGTTTTCTATGAAAGGTTAAAGTGTAATGAGATCAAAAAAAGAAGGTCAAAACATGAATGAATTTACAGGAATTAGAGGTGATAAATATGATAGTTTTTGCAATAGTAGATTTTTGTTTACGTCTTTTTTGCATAGAGGAGAAAACTTTGATTTTGCTTTTCGTTTTTAAACTTGACAACAATCACAATGAGCCTTTGATTATAATTTGATTGGTGATTTTGATTGGACGTCATATATATCTTAATTATATCCATTGATTTAGTAACAATCTTCCGGAGTTGGATCGATAAATTTGTTCAACCAATCATCTCGCCAGAATGTTTCATAGCATTTAGTATCTTCGTCAAAAATAATTTCGCGATTTAGTTCAGAACATAATTTGGTTAATATTGCTCTTCCTTCATTAGATGAAAATGATCCGTCCAGGTAAAGTCTTTCGAGATTTTTACAGGCATCAACGATAATTCGAATGCAGGCCACAGTTATACATCGACTTACAACTCGAAGCTCTTTTAGATGTTTCAAATTACCAAATAAATGGCATAACGAGTCTTCTAACTGAAATGAGAAGGAAAATTTAATGTTAATCATTTAAAAATCAAAATTTTCGGTTAAAAGTGGTCAAGAGTAAAGGTAAATTGTTCGTATACACTTACTTTAGGTGTAAGAGATCCGTTAAATTGAAGTCGCTCAATTTTGGGACATTTATCTGTCAACACTTTAAGATCACATCCCGAGTCAAGGCATAAATTTTTCAAATTGGGTAAGAAGTTCACTAAATACATTTGCATATCACAGGTTGCATATAATAATTCATCTTCCGATACATCATTGAGTCCACAATTTAATACATCGTCAAAAAATTTGATCACAAGAGTCTTTAGGTTCGGTAAACTGTTGAAATCACGAGCGGCTCTTATTGTCTCAACATATTCAAGGACCTCGAAATCATGAGAATCTAAAGTAGAAGAATATAATTAATAAATGATAAACGATTACTACTTTATATCTCTTTCTCTCCCTTGAAATAGAATCACAATTGAAATTACCATCTTTCTTATTCCATTCAAAATGTTCGAGTTTTGGAAAAGTATTATGGAAAACAACCATCAAGGGGAAAAATCCATAAACACAAAGTCTTCGCAAGTTGACACATTTTTGCAGCAAATTCTCATAATTTAGTGGACTAAAGTAATGAAAATCGTCGACAAAATCAATATCCAACTCTTCAAGAGACTCATGGAACTGGAAGGAATCATCAATCTCGAAATTACCAGACAAATGAATGGATTTCAAAGAAGAAGCAATTTTAAGTCCTTGGGTTATATCGATAGTTGGCATTTCTTTGTCGAAATCTTTAGCTTTTCTAGAAAAAGTCAGAATCTGAAATAGAATAAAAATAGAATAATATAAGTATCGATGACCAATCAATTGTTAACACTTTTCTAAGTACCTTAAGATTTGGTAAACTTTCCATCAAGCGAATAAAACTATCTTCAGATAGAGTTGTGTCCGATACACAGAGGCCTTGAAGGTGCTTAAAATAGTCACCTGATATTCAGAGATGAAGAGAAAATCAGAAATTAGAAAAAAAAATAAAGAAAAATTTGATTCCAATGGTGAAGGAAAAGCGTTTAAGTTACCAATAAGATCATAAATGATAGGCCTCGGAGAGCAACCATGAATTCCAATGCGCTTCAAATTGGGTAAAAGGCTGAATAAAAATTTAAGATTTCGTCTTCTCAATCGCTTGTTTTGAGCTATGACATTTTGACCTTCATAATCTTTGATGATATCACTAGAAACGTTGTCTGTATAATAAGATAGATAGAGAGAGAAAAGGTTATTAAAACGAAACAGATATTTCAATGTAAACACCAGACTCAAAATTGGAGCAACAAAGATAAACACATAAGTAGCTAGAGAAAAATAGAAAAGCAGAAATGAGAGAACATGAGAGAACATGAGAGAACATGAGTTTCCAATGAAGTAAATAGCACAATAGAATAGGAAAAACGTGATAACTATTCGAATGGGTGAAAAAATAACAAAGGAAAACATAATCTACATAGAAAACAGTGTTAGAGGTTAGAGTTGAACCCAATTTAAAGTGATCGGTGTTGTGTCACAATTGATGGAAAAGGTGAGATGATAATTACAGTATAAGGTTTCAACTTTGGTTCCAAATTTGAGAATTAGATTATTCCAATGGCGACAAACTATACAACAAAGAGAAGAAAAGAAAAGAAAACCAAATAAGATTAGACCAGAAATGGATTCTAAATGGAGAACTCACCTCGTCTACAATTGAGAACATCGTTTAAATTTGTAAGCGAATGAATTATTTTGACCAATATTTCATTGGGAAGATAATGAACATTCATTTTTCCTCTTCTTCTTCAGTAGAACAGAATTAACTAAATTGTGGTCACTTGAATTTCGAAAACGTTGAATAAAAACATAAGATCAAAAAAATCAATGGAGAAGAAGAAATTTAAAAATCTAAGTTGGTGTTTATAGACAGAAATGATTAAAACAAAAAAGGAAAAGGATTTGAGACTTTATCTGGAATAGATCATGAATTATCTTGAAACCATCAACATCTAATTGATTGGTTGATTATCTGGTGAATTAAGGTTGAATTAACAACAATGACAATGGAAAAAAGCACAAAAAAGAAAAGAAAAAAAAAGCAAAATGTAAACAAAAGCGTCGAAAGGGAAGAAGAGAAAGAGAAAAGAAATTGAAGGAAAGAGAAAAAGAGAAAGTGAGAGAAGGGAAAATCTGTTGAGAGGGGAAAACGAATTTCAAATGGACCAATTGGTTAATTATCTTCTCTCTAATTGATCGACAATCGAATGTTCAAATTTAACATCTTCGAAAGTCCAAATTGTCAAAGGTGAAAGTTAACAAAAATTTTCAAATTTTTTCTCCAATTCAATTAATCAAAGCGGCGATTTTTTTAATAACATTGATAATCCGATTCCTTGGTTTTCATTTTCTTTTTATTTAAAATACTTTTGAATTGTTTCCAAGTGAAAGATAAATTAATTGGCTTCACATTTGATTAATCACTACTAATTAGATGATTAGTGTAATACAGAAACAGAGAGAGAGAGAGAAAATAATTGCGAAAATCACTAATCATGAACAGGAATTTTAAAAAAAAAGCAAAATGAGAAAATTAAATGAAACGATCAATTGATGTGAATTTGGTTGGAATGGCCAAACGAAGAGGGAAATGGCGAATATGATTAACGTCCAGTTAATCGTAACAATCGACTGTTAATTGTGTTGATAATTTACAATGAGAAACCAATTGATTGGTGATAATTTAAATTTACTCTTCCTTTCGACCATCTCGTCCACCTCTTTTCTTCCAAACAGCCGATTCATCAGCCATTGCCTGTCAACAATTAACAATACAATTCGATTAGTAAACAGAATTAACATGAAAATATAAGATCAATTCTCACCTGATTTAATAGCTTTTCGGCATCCGGATCAACGGCAGCGAGTTCAGCAAAATTTTCCGCTCCAACAAAACAGATCTCATAGTTATCCGGATCTAAGAGTATGAGGACATGAACATCGGATTTACCTGGAGTTGATAGAGTAATTAAATCGTGAAGGATTTTCAATCCTCTATTCTTGACCGATTCATTGATTTCCAATAGTCTTGGTGAAGGTACACCGAAGGCCATTCTACCCCAGCCTGTAGCATGATCGACCTGAGATTCAATACCAACAAGGTTAAGTTTACATTGATCATCAGCATAACCGAGAGTAACTTCATCATTAGATTGTGAATAGATGTTTAAACCAAGAAGACCAGACCAATAATCAATTGATTTGGTTAAATTGTTAACGGAAATCGATACTTGGGTAACTAAATCATTTCCTTTACGAATGACCAAAGGATAACCATCAGGATCTTTAACATCAACCTCATCACCGATCAGATTGAACTCTTTTTTAACACCTTCCAATGCTCGAGTTGATTCAATTACGATTTTCCTTAAATCATTACCAATACCATAAGAGGGAATTGGATAATTGTAAGTTAATTCAAAGATGAAATTGTCACTTTCTGGTCCATATCCAATCATTGTTTTGCTCCAGGCGTTTTGGTAAGGCCTAAAGGGGAAAAGATAAAATTAAAGATTACTAATTGTCATTGGAAAATTAACTATCAGCTAATCAATTGATTGTGAGTAAAATCGGGTGACAATCAATGACAAAACTGTTACAATTAACTTACCCATTACAAGTTGCTTTGCAACCTTCATCAAACTCTTCATGACGAAGTACCTGAAAGAGTGAAAACAATTAGTTAATTACGGGTAATTAAAATGTGAATCTTGTGACGTTTATGGTTAAATAAAACATTCTAAGGACATTTGATCAATTAGACAATCTTTAATTTGATTGCTGAAAGACACACAAATTGTTGACTTTGTGTTTTTGCTTTCAATTTTTGGAAATAATTGAAAGTTAAACAATTAAACTGTAGAATTACAATTAAATTTAATTTAGAAAAATGGTCAATATTTTTGGGAAGAAAATTGAGAAAAAAAAGAAAATTGTTCTTACGGTCATTCCAAGAATATCTCGATAGAATTGAATTGAACGAACTCGATCTCCGATCTTTAAACACCAATGAAGAGCTCGGGCCATGATCACAATCAGTTAATTGGCAATTCGATAACAATTTAAACTAAATTAATTGAAAGTGAAACAGAAAATGTGAAAATTTGATTGGCTCACATTGACTTTTAATCTCAGAAGATGAGGAAGATGAGGAAGATGAGAGTGACTTTTAGTTGCAGAAAAATTAACTTACCGCGGGTTAATTTGATTCTTTAAATTGGAACAATTTAACTAACAATTAGAATTATGATCTTTTGTTGTATTCCACAATTATAATCAAATTTATCGATGATATAAATGGATGAACGAAGGGAATTGTATATGAAGAAGTTTGATCGTAGAAGGAAAAAAAAAGTTGACAATCGTTGGAACGAAAAGTTTAATTGTAATGGATGCAGAGAATAAACTAATTAGAATAGTAATTAACTAATTAACACAGAATAGAATAGAAAATAGAGAAATCAATTTAATCATCTGTTTCCCCCTGAATTGTGAATTAAATGACGATTAATCAATGGGGGAAAATGAATTTATATCTCAATTCATGTCCTTCTCTCTCTCTGATTGATTACAATCAAATCATAGTTAATCTTTGTCTCTCTCACTGATTAAACAATTAAGCTTTTCCCCTGAACAATTAACATTAATCATCTTCATTAAGTGTCTTCAACATCTTCATGTCCAATAAAAATTAAACTCATTTTCGGGGCAAAAATGTCAACCAAAATTAAGATACTTAATTACTTAACTTTCCGTTGATTAGATACAATTAAATAACGTGTTGATTGTAATTAAATTGCCAGTTTTACTTTTGTCTCATCTTTATTATCATTGATTGTGTTTAATTATTATCTTAAATAATATTATGTAATCGATGAGGGACTTAGATTAATTATATCCAACGCCAATCAATTAGTTGATTGTCGTACCTGATTAAAGGGAACAAGTGGTAACAATTAAATCAATTGAAACAATTTACGTTCATAAGAACTGATTAATTCTCATGAAAGTGGATTAGTTATTAATAAATATCTTATTTAGTTGATTGTTAATCAATTCACGGACAAATTAGAAACATTAAGAACTATTGGTGACAATTAACATTTATTATCGGTGTTAATTAATCATCCAATTCGTGTGCAATTTGATTAACTACAATATTGTTAATTAATTCACATTCTTATTGATTTTTGTTATATTTTTCATGTCACTTAATCAGTTAACTATTAATAACAATTCCGTTGAGCAATTAATCCCTTACAATTAAAGATGATCAATAAAACTTTTTATTATTATTGATTGTTTACCTTAATTGTTCAATTTGATTACACGTGAATCAAATTGTTCATCAAAAATCGTAATTAATTGTTAACGTGAATTGTTCATGATTAATTTTATTGCCATTGATTTTTTATGATCAATTTTTGATCATACAAATTGTTACAATTACAAATCATCAATATTGATTATATTTTGATGGAAAAAAAGTTAAATTGTTTGCCAGAATTAACTCTTTCATGATTGTAATCAATTCATTGGAATTAATCTGATTGTCCATTATCAGGATGTAAATTAATCGATATAACGAACAATTTAATCTTCGAAATTGTGAAAATCTAATCAATGACAATTACCACTCGCAAGTATTTAAAGCACTTCCAACCTACTCATTAATTGTAAGTAACAATCAAAGTCTAATAAAATTGATTAATTTTATTGATTTATTATAATTTGTACTTGGAAATTGATAAAATAAATTGTCAACATGAAAGTTAATTAACTTGCACTTTGAGAAAGTTTAACTTTTACCTTTGGTGTGACAATTAAGTTAATCAGCTGATTCATTGTAACAATTGACATTAAATGAGTCAACCTTATCAACCAGGTACATTGAAACTCAATTAAAAAATTAAAGGAAAGTAAATATTACAATCTAATTAACTAATAATCAAAAACCAAAAACTCAACGAGTTAAAAACTAATCGATAATTTTTCTGGTTCATTGATGAACAATCGATGTATCGATGTATCGATATTTTGCGAAAAGAATTTTCCGATTGTGTCTCCCTCTATTTTGCTGAATTCTAACTAGTCTCGACCTTCTCAATCTCAAGTTGATTTTTTTGTTCTGTTTATTGTTGATTAAATTTGATTCTTAATTTTAATTGTGTTTTAAACGTTTGTTTTAATTAATTTAAAATGAATTTCGCAATCCGTCGATTGTTTTCTCCAAAGAATTTGGAAATTCTTCAAAAAAGAGGTTATTCTTATCCTTATGGAAACAAATTCCTTGTTACTCCTCCTCGAACACCGATCTCAGTTGCTGAACGAATTGGTTTGTTTACTTTATTATTCTGTTCAGTTACTTCCGTTCCAATATGGATTCTGTATCATCTTCGACTTTACCGTAACCAAAGCTACGAGGATTGGATTGCTTACCAAAATAGATGGTCCAGTAAAGATTAGACGGACAATGGACCTAAATAGAAACATGATTAGTCTCAATAGATTATTGTATCCAATGTATCAACATTTTGTTTCTCTCCTTAAGAAGCTTTAACCTATTCTAGTCTTAATCGTAACCAATTTCAAACAAATGGACGATTTAATTTATCTAAACCAAATTCAATAAGAGAATTGATGCCGATTTAATTGTTCTGTCAATCAAAGATTGGAAACTATTTACAATTAATGTTTTACTTGACAAAATTATTAGCTAATTGTGTAAATTTTTTGTCTCAAAATCGTCAACCTTAAATTATAATTTTAATCGATGATTAAATGTTAGATATACTTGGATTTTATTAATCTCTTGTATGAATGAAGTAATTAAGTTGATCTAAATTGTCCGGGAAAGTAAACAAACCAACTGAATTGAAAATTAATAAGCTTTTAATAGATTTTCAATCACATCAAATGGGATAAATTAGAATCCAATATGAGTATAAGAAGACAATTAGTGTAAACTTGATACAATTAAGAGGACGAAATGATTTATACAAATTAAAAGAGGAACAAACAACAACAAAAAAAAGGTAGAAAAAGCAATTATAATCGGTAGATTGGAATTGTCTTCGAGGAGGAAAAAAGTTCTAAGTATAAAAAAAAGTTTTGTAAACATCAATTCGAGTGATGATTATTTGTTTCTTTCGGTTATAAAAAATACTGTTTACAGTTGATGTAATCATTTGATTCTCTTCCGACTCAATTTGATTGTTTTTCTGTGTTTTTTTTACATCCATTAGGTATTAGTATTGGAAAAGAAAAGAGAGAAAGAGAGAGAGAGTTAATTACTTCAAATTAGTATTTATATTATATAAATTAGTCAAGATAATTAAGCTAATGGAGATGGTGATTGTCCTCGATCTGAAGGTGAATTTTCACCGGCTAAATGTTCATGTTCAATTGAATGTTCTTCCCTCATGTGTTTACCAACAATCGGTAGAACTGTTAACCAATCGCAACCAATTACTACTAAGAAACAACCAACCTGAAGAAGAGAATTAAAAAATAGATTAGAATTGATGATAATCATGGTAAATTCTGTTAAACTTACTAGATAAACAACGAAAATAAGGTAAAAGATGACAAATATCAGCGTTAACAGGATGACCCACCACGTGACGGGAAAATTGTCTTTAACAAATGAGCCAACGAAAAAAATATTAATCGATATGACGACAATTGAAAGTATCGATGCAATCATTATATTGGTAAAATCGTTTCTAAATTGACCCATCACTTTTTTAGATGAGGTAAAGGTGAGTGTTGGTAACAAGGCAAAAGGTAATTGTAAGGACATTAGAGTATTTAAAAGGTCATTCATTCCGTTAAATCTTGTTGTCGGTAGTAGGCGATAAAAGAGTTGGACAAATGGCAATGGTTCGGGTGAGAAGGACTCGTTTCATCGAGCCCAATGAAGGTCAAGAAAACCTTCCATAGCAAATTGACCAGAATATGTTCCGGTCATTGTTGAACTTTGACCAGCAGCAAATATACCGACAGCCCAAATGTAGAGAGCAGGTAAACCAAAGTAACAACCAAGATAAATTCTGAGAAATTGAAATAAATAACAATTTAAAAAGAGTAATTAACCGTTGGGAATATTAATCCAATTAATATAAATTCTTACAGCTTTGAATAGATCAGCATCAACGAGTTCGTCATTATTTGGGAAAGTACCGTTAGGAATTGGATAATTGATTCCAGAGCATTGAGCATTCTGTAAAATAACAACAAAAGAATCACAAAATATTATACAACTGAACAGTTCGAACAATATTTAGGACAATTGTTCGAGTATTCAAATTCGCTTTATGAAAGTTCAAAATTCATTTGGCCACAGATTCATACAATCAAGAGTTAGAGGTAGACATTAAGTAAACTCTACAAATGGTGAATTGAAACTGAGTCTAAATTACAAATAAATTGATTGTGATTAAATACACAATAACAGTTGTTAGAGCTAATTGATCCATTTAAATTCATTCCTAAATTGTAACTAATTGAACGATTGCTGATTAAAGTGATATAAGAATTAGGTTCATTATGACGTTAGAATTGTTATCACGATAATTTCGTTTATAACCTCAAAGAACCTCAATAATTTTTCATCTAATTAATATAATTGGAGGTGAGAAATTTCATAGATTCGATGATAATCGTTAGAGTGTTAATGATTATATGACTTGATGATTTCAAGAAAGAGTAATAATATAACGATAACTACGACTGAAAGTTTTATGAATTTTGTTTTCTTCAAATAATCAGATGAGAAATAAGGTTGATGGATATTGATTAACTTCATGATGAATTGCATGTTAACATGATAATCGCTTTCTGCCTCGTCATTTACTGTTATTTTTCCTCTATCTCTCTCTCTCTCTCGGCAGCAGAAATAATCAAACGTAGGACAATTTAATTTAGCTGATTGTTGTTGATTAAGTCATGCTATGGTTTCATGTATCCAGAATTGAATAATTAGTGTTGAAAAATATTACAAGAAATCAACATGACACATAATTGAGACTGACGTAAAGATTTGATTGTTAATTTGGTGACAATGTTGCTCCAATTAATAAATCATTAATTAGTGAAACCATTTCATCATAAATAATAAATGATTTTTGAGACAATTCAATTGATATTTTTCTGTTGTATTCCTATGAAACTATGAGTTCCAACTGATAATTAGTAAATCATTTCGGGAATTAGTTCATTCAACATAATTATTATTACATGACCTTCTAGACAATCGTGACAATATTTAAACAATTAACATCAATCTCCCTAGACAATCAATTTTAATTGTCCCGGATTTGATTTAGTTTAGCTGATTAAACATATTACACAAGATGAATTAGTTTAATTTTACCTGGTAAATTATCAAATATATCAAAACAAATCTCAGTTTTTTTTGCGTCAAACTAATTAAATGCCTTTAATGTTTGATTACAATTAAAATAATCAAACGATTAACAATATAAAAACACAATAGAGAAGTGAATATGAATCTAAGCTGATAAAACGTTAATCAAGAGTTAATTGTTCCCAAATGAAATTATTATAAGTGAACAAATTGTAAAAAGTGATAACTGATTCATTGTTATATTCATGAATCAGGGACAATTAATCAATAATTGAAATTATCATGATTAAGTTACAATCCAATATTAACTTGATTAGATGGTAGCCTTCATTGTAGATCCTTGATTTCAATTAATCAAGAAAAAAATGAGCAGCAAAACAAAAAAACTCAAGATCTCAAACTTGATTAGATTGAATTTCGTTGAAAATTTTTACGGTAAAAGTTTTAATTGTTAACAATTAAAAGTAAATAATAAGGTAAATAGAGGATAAAAAAACTCATTGATGTAACTAATCATTAACTATTATTTGTTATAAGATGAATATGAAAAAAAAAACAAACAACGATGATAACTACAGGTGATCAAATTAACAATCGACAGTGATTATCATCGATTGACAATTAATTTGTACAATATAAAGCTATCTCATTTGACGATAGTTGTTAATTGTTACTTTTCCATCAACAATTGAGACAGAAAAAAACAAATAGTTAATCATCAAGTGATGTATTCTCATGTATTCCAAGTGAATGAGAAAAAAGAAAAGAAAATGTCGACTAATCTTATTCGCAATCGAAAAAGTAAAGAAGAAGAAAAAAGACAGAATTAGGAAGAATTAGGAAGAAGAATAATTATCATCATCAGTATCATCTCTTGATATCGATGAGGTCCAAGCCATTTAAAGAATCAAAGAGCTGATAGAATGAACCGAAAAAAAAATTATTCTCAAAACAATCAACAAGTAAACAAGGAAACTGGAAAAGTTAATAGAATCAACTAATCAATTAGATGGTGGAAATCTATCAAAGAAAATCTTATTTCTTTGAGTACATTGAACCTCAAGTATTTTCGGGTTTGCACCGAGCAACAAAACACCACAAACTCACCACTTGAGAATTGGTGACACCGTACAATCCATGAGCAAACACCGATGTGACGGAAATGTTTATTAGCAGAGAAACTCCCAGCGCAATAAAGGCTTCAATGAAAACGTATCTATTGGCATCTTTCACCTCGGCGGCATTGGAGCGATCAATTTTCCTAGACTATAACAATGAAACAAGAAACGGAAAAAAATAACATGAGACAATAAAAGAAAATATCTTTCCATGAAAATGGATTGTAACAATTTAGCATTAATTGTTGGTTGGAATCACTCTTGTTGTTGTTGTTTACCTTGACTAAAGCCGAGTGAAGGTAAAGATTGTGAGGCATGATGATTGCACCTATTATTCCGACTGCTTGCATTAATGCTCCGTATTGACAGTTAGCGCACCAAGGAATTAAAAGTCCAGAACCAACGCTAACAGGGTCAGGTTTTACTCTGAAAAATTCATAACCAAAAGTAAAGGCCATGATGGTGATGAGTAGACCAAAGAAGGCTTCGAGTTTCCTTAGTCCATATTTATCCAGAAATAGAAAGGTAAATGTGTCACAGATCGTTATTAATACTCCGACAAAAACTGATATTCGACCTTGTGTAAGAATGTTTATCGCTATGGCAGTTCCGATAACCTCTTGCATATCCGAACCAATGATGGCGATTTCAATCATAATCCATAATAAGATCCTTGGTAATTTAGGATAACGACGATAACAAAGTTCAGCAAGATGTAAACCAGTTACGGTTCCAAGACGAGCCGCTAATCGTTGCATTAAAAGCCCCAAAAAAGTGGACCACATTAACACCCACAATAGATGATATTGAGCAACTGTACCAGCCTGAAGATCAGATTCAATGTTACCAGGGTCAAGATAAGCGATACTCATAAGGAAACCAGGACCAGTGAATTGCCATAATCGCCTCCAGCTAAAATTGTACTAAACAAGAAGCAAAACAAAAAAGGTAACAATCAAATTAATAAAATTGTCAATCTATTGAAGAAGATGTAAATTAAACTTACATCATTTGGAGGAGGAATTTCAATACATTCATTGAAATAAGTTTCTAATTTCTTCTTATCATCAGGTTGAAAGGTTAAATCAGTTCGATCCACCTCATCATTGGCTTCTCGAAATGAACTTGATCTATTTTTGACATGTTGTTTATCTGAAGAGCTATTTCCACCTTCATAAACAGGATTAACTGCTCCATAGTGGATTAAATCATCTTTATTAAGATTAACACTGGATTTAGATTCATCCATAATTAGTAAAACAGGTAAAATAATCAAGGTTAATCCAAGATTATGATGAAAACGGTGGTGATTATATGGAGATGAGTAAACACTTAAATTGAATGGTTGGTTAATCTTTTAACCATTGGCAAACAATTGAAAATAATATAAACACTGAAAAAGGAACCAGCAAGATAATCAACTAATTAAGTACCCGAACACATACTAAATTGTTGAAGGATTTTCATTGCTTCTATAACGTTTTGATGATGAAAATATGATGATAATGATGATCCAAAATGAGGGAGAAAACGTTTAAATAGATGATATTTTTTGGTCACCAGAAAGAGAGAGAGGAGTAAACACAATAGGTAAGAACAGAATTAACAAAAATTTTCCAACAAAATTGATTAAAAGTTTAATTAGTGTTAAATTACTAGTTGATTGATCAGTTTACTTTTTCCAATATCAACCAACCCAATAAAAGGTTTTCTAATATTCATCTCTCTCTCTCTCTCAAACACACTTTCAGGTAAAAGAAGCAACAACAAAAAGGAAACTCTCTCTCTCTCTCTTTTTCTTTGTATCTTTACTGGATCACAGTTAATTCACAAAGAATACAATTTACTAATTAGTTGTATTAATCAATTATTAGATAAAAATTAATTGAAACCTCAAGGTTTTAATGATAAGGATAAAATGAGACACAAATGAAAACTTAAAGGAACCATTGAGTCAAAAGGATCACCAGCTGATCGGAAGGCGGAGCTTAAATTTGGTTTCGTTGTTTTCTTTGAAATGTTTACCTTAACAATTTGATTACTTTTTTGTTTGATAATCAATTAACTAAATTAGTTTGGAATTGTAATTATTAGCGAATTGAATTAATGTTTCATCGATTAATTTGTCAATTAACACTTCAAATCTTATCGTTGGTTGAGTTTCTCTCTCTCTTGTTGATCAAATTACTTGAAGATAATTTTACTTTTAATTGATTAACATGATTGTTGTAAATTATGAACAATTAGATTTGTTAATTTTGTTGTTGTTTGGTATTGGTAGTTTTTAATTTCTTTCGATTAGTTGTGTTTTATGTTGGTAATTGATTAATGAATACATTGTGATTCAATTTTGATTGATTTACTTTTTGATAAGTTGGTTGGAATTGAAAAAGGAGACTGATTTAATTAGCAATTTAGAAACAATCACGATACAATTGAGACAATGGTGAATTGATTTAATTATCTTGTTCATTGAAGAAATTGTCAGTTATTGTCTATTGATCAACTGATCTTGATTGGTGATAATTTTCAGAAAGTTAAGTCAATGCTCTGGGAAAAAAATTCTGATTCATTATTTTTACCCCATGGATGGAATCGTATTGATTAATTTAAATTCATTGAAATCAATTGATTGTCCACAAATTTAATCACAATCACAATTTTCCATTGCTTGATGATTGAGGCCAAAAAAATCGCTCGATAAGAATAAGAAATGACCAAAATTTTCAGGAAAATTCGAGTCAACAAATGAGTGAATCTTCATTCATACAATTCCATAAGTTAAGATCATTAATCAATCAGGTTCAAACGAACGTAACTAAATTGATCAAGATAATTAAATATCATATCAATTTTTTCAGAGATAATTGAGATTCGTAACAATTAATCACCAAATAACAGTAGTAACTACTTACAATAACAATTTACTAAATATCTCTATTCACTTTTGAGTAACTTTTTTCATATTTGGACCTTAATTCATATATATATGACACTGATTAAAGAAAATCAATCAAATATAATAAACTTAAAATTAAATTAATTCGAGTAAATAAATTAACCTAAAAAAAAACACCAATTGATTAAAATACTTCAAATGAACCGTTTGAATTTGGATCGAATGACAAAATTTCCAATTGTCTTCTCACCCCATGGACGGGAATCATATTGATCACGCCACGAATAAATTGCTCAATGGACATTGGACAAAATTACGAAAAATGAATGAAAAAGACAACAATTTAATTCTTAATTCGATACAATTTAAAGATCCCTCACTTTCTACCGATCCATTGAAATGATGAAGGAAAATCAACCAAGCATGTGTGTGGATTATGATTCAAGCAGAAATAACAACAAACCATTTTGACATTTGGACGCTTTTAATTTGGTCATTTGTTTGTCTCTTTTTGTTTTCATAATCTTCTTTTATTTCTAATAGATTTAAATTGTTGGAAATGTCATCCAATTTTGGTACAGTTAATCCACTTCACTATTCCATCCCTTCAAGTCCCGAAATGACCGAGATCTCAATTGAAGAGACAAACAATGCAACCGATGTTGTTGTCACCAGCAAAGATAATAACATTTCCTCTCGTCCAGCGACATTACCTGTGTCCTCGCCCTTTGGCCCTCCTGGTTTACCTTCAACAACCTCATCTTATTCAACTAAAAATGGCATTGACAGTGAAACTAATCCATCAATTTCATCCAATTATCCACTTGGATCAACACCCAAAAGTACACCAATAGGTAATAAGGATAACCCAAGTTTCCTATTGACAAAATCATTTATAGTTTCTTATTATATTTCTCCGGATTTTCATTCATTTTACACATTAACCATTTTCTATCCAATTAATTGTGTTCATTTCAACCCTTCTATTCATATCACTATATTGATAAATTGTATTGATTGTCACTTGGAAATGTTTCTTTGTTTACACCTTCCTATAAGATACCATTTAAGTGGCAACACCTAAATTAAGTAAAGTTTAATGTTTCTAATGGTTTGATTTTTACCTTTTCTCATTTTCAGAAGCAATCAAGGAATGGTCGATAACAACATTTAAATGTACTAAACAATTGGTTAATGAGAAATTAGGAAAAGTTCAACGGACAATTGATACTGGATTAGAAAGTGAAATTGATAAATTAAGAGAGACCCAGAAAAAATATTCCCACATCTTGAGGATCGCTCGAGATATGTCATCGATGTATTCATCTCTAGTCCAACAACAGATTCTACTTTATGAATCGCTTAGTGATCTCTCATTAAAAGAGCCGAAAGTAGACACTAAAATATCTTCATCGTCATCGAGTGTTACATCAAATGTAAGTGGCGGTGGAAGTTCAGTTGGAGGTGGTGATGGAAATGGAGAAGATGTTAATAATTCACTGAGCAGTTTAAATCTTTCAGCTGATTTCCGACAAAATGCTGAAATGTTACGTTTGGTTTCCAAAAATGGTGAAAAATTGATTTTGGCTCTTCGATTTTTCTGCTCCAATTTATCAACTTTAGTCAATAAAACCATTGACGATACCATAGTTACGATAAGACAATTTGAACAAGCAAGATTAGAGTATGATGCTGAACGTAATAGCGTGGCAAACTTGCTACCAGCTCAAGCTGCGGCTGCAGCCAGCACCGAGAATCTAATCGCTGCTCGAGCTAAATATGAAAGACTACGACAAGATGTTATCATTAAGCTTAAATTCTTGGACGAAAATAAGGCGAAAGTGATGCACAAGCAACTAATTCTATTCCACAATGCCTTTACTGCTTATGCCTCTGGAAATGCTTCGACATTGGACTCTACACTTCGACAGTTCAGTATTAAAGCGACTCCTCAGTCTTGGCTGGAAAAATGAACAGGAAGAACAGGAAGAACAATCTTGTCCCAATTTGAATTCTATCGACTAAAATTAATAGAGAGAAAGAGAGAAAGATTAATAAGTGCAAACAAGAAAATCCAACAAATGGAACTGAAATAATTTGAAGAAACAAATCAATTCCTTCCACAATCAATTTCTAGTTGGTGATTCGAGACGAAAAATGAAAATCTTAAAGTTAACAGAAAGTTCTAATCATCACCTTCTCAATATAATATCTTCGTGGCTCAGTTACGTCTAATAAAATGGATTTTACCATTGAATCAGTTTCATCACACTAATTGCATTCGGTTAACTTGTACTTTAATTGTAGCTTTATGTTGATAATGAGATTTACATTTTGATTACTTTTCATTTATAAACCAATAAAAATGGACATTAACTAATCATAACACAAAACAGTAACATCTAAGCGCGTGCATGATGCGATTGGCACGAGGAATCTCCAAGAAAGTGAAAGAGAGACAGAGACAGAAAGAGAGAGAAAATAAAAAGAGATAAAATTGAAGAAAGAGAGAGAGGTAAGAAAGAAAAGAAAGAAATTTGAGAGAAGCGCAAATTCTGTACAATTGGGGACAAATTCGCCGCAATCTCGTGAGAATTTTTCATCTTCGAAGTCGACTTGGCTCAGAAAATTAACGTGAATTCGATTGCGGATTCACAAACTGAATGCAATCAAAAGTTTGCATTGATTTTCTTTGGTTTGATGATAAAAATCTCTCGGTAAGAATAAGAAATGGCCAAGATTTTCAGGAAAATTCGAGTCAACAAATGAGTGAACCTTCATTCATACAATTCCATGAGTTAAGATCATTAATCAATCAGGTTCAAACGAACGTAGCTAAATTGATCAAGATAATTAAATATCATATCAATTTTTCAGAGATAATTGAGGTTCGTAATGATTGTTAATCATCGATTGAAGTAGCTACCGTTGCACCGATGAATAATCTATAAATATCTCCATTTTCTTGGAATTGTTGTTTTCATTTCCTTTGGACGTACACATTTTTGCCACAGTGAATATGAAAAGTTAATCAAAGATGATCAACTTGACATTAGATTGATACGAATAAATGAAAACAAATTGCTCTTGCACCACCAATTCACCAAACCAATCGTTTGAAACCATATCGCACAGAGTATTAATTCATTTTTCCAAGTAAATTGTCATCTCCTTCATCCTACAAAAATAATCAACAATTAACATTAGGCTTTGTCATTTGAAATCTGGTAAAACAATCAAAATAAAGGAGGTATCCCCGATATTAGATAACAACATCAATAGATCACGATGTGCACATACCTTGAGAAATACTAGCATCATGTTAATAGAAAGTTGTAAATTACGATTCATAATTAACGCATCAACAATTAAATTGAAATTTGATTTGATTGTTTATCAGATTGAAAAAAAGTTCATCTGCTCTAATTATCCACCAACAGGTGGCAGTAAATGTCAGTAAATTTTATCTCGTTAATTTCGAAGGCGCGATTTTCAAATGTCAAGTTTTCGTAAACAAATTTTGTTGAACAAAATTTTGATTAAATTAATACATTTACACTAAAAAATTAGCACAATTAACTAGACATGATAGCATTAAATTTTCAAGAGTAATTAATAATTTAACAATTTACCAAAGAATGAGAAACTAATTTTCAGCCTTTTCCATCAATTTATCATCGAGTAAATTAATTTCATCAAAAGCTTAAATGAAACAAATTAACTAATTGTTATTATATGACACGAATAATAATAACTATTGAAATTAATTCTATTAACTATTAAATTAACACAAATCAATATACATTTAATTACTCTTATTGTTCATTAGCTTTTATTAAAATACCCACAACACTTCATTAATTACAATGAGTGAAACTTTTAATTACTATTACCTAATTATTGAAATTAAAACAAATCAAGCCAATAACTTTTTCTGATTAAATATCAACAATGAAACTAATTCATTAATCATGCACCAATGAATATCATTAATATATAAACAAGAAAAATCTAAAGTTAATTATATCCAATTGCATGAGAACTGAGCATCAGAACGAGTGAAACTTTAAAACACTTTCATAGGGAAAAAGTTTTTATTTCTCATTAATAACAATTAAATTGTTACGAATCTACAAAGATTAAAGTAACACTAATTTCACCAATGACACCCAAACTTAAATTACATTTAATTACCTTGGCATAATAGTTAATTCCTTCATTTCCTTTTCCTAACAACAACAACAATCTAAACCTTATTAATTATCATCTCTCAATGATTGTAACTAATTAAAATACTGACAAAAAACTGTTAACCAAAGCTTGGTGTCAATTAAATTGTAACTTGTTTTCTGTAAGTGATTAAGATTGTAACGTTGGCACCATTCAAAGACCCCACACCAAACAAATTAACGGCTCACGGGTCCATTCATATTTTGTATGTTAATTTAATGATAATCATGATTAAAATAATTTCCTCGTATGTCAACTCGTCCCTTTTGACCTCAAGCTTCCGTTATTATTATTAACATATAATCGCGAACCCTTTTCATATAATTGAGAAGCGTTCATATCGACTCACCTTGTTGCACGTACCATAATAATAATCATGACAGTTAACATGATTATCATGATTGGTGACTGTCTAGCCCACAAGAACATGGTTTTCATTATCTTATATATTATAAATATATAAGATGATTGCCTGAGGGCAAAAAAGGAAAGAAGAGATGAAAATAATATTAAGAAGAAAGAAAAAGTTAAGTGAGAAAAAAAAAAGTTTTTTTTTTCGTAATAGAAATGGCGTAACATGAATGAAGAGATGCTGTGAATGAATTAATGTTTGTTGTCAAGTTAATTGAATTCATCATTTTGGAGAGTTAATTTAAATTAATTTTAATTCGCGGTGATGGTGGTGGTGGTGGTGGTGGTGGTAAATTGTCCATCACGGACTTGGTCTCATCTTCTTGTTGCTCGGTCACACAATCCAAATTAATACCAATGCGTGTTTCCAACTAGATATACTGTATCTTCATCTTCATCTTCATCTTGATCATCATTATCATCATGATATAGTTTTGGAAACACGCACTTTTGTTGTTGTTAACAATTAACTCAGCTCAGAATATATTAAATATATTTAATTTTGTTTCTCTCTCTCTCCCTCTAATCCTGATGATGATGATTAAATAGAGACACTAATCAAGGAGAAACGCGTGTTACCCTACCATCAAATATGAATACAAAATTAGATTGTTAAGATGGTGAATTAAAAACCATTAATTAACTTTTATCAGATGAGATGACCACAAGTACGATGGTCATTATTATTAACTTGATTCATTCATTTTTTTTTTCATTTTCTAGGTGAAACCATTTAACTTTCAAGTCTTGATTCAATTAATGAATGAAAGTTACAATGGTTGGTGAAGACGGAAGATGATTATTACTATTATTATTATTATCATTATTATGATAACGACTTTGATAGTGATTAAAAAAGTTCTGACTTGAAATTATTTCATCGTTTTAATGACCATCACAATGTTGACCACTGTTACTGTTACTAAAAAAAACATTGCATGTCCGAAATCATCACTGACCATCAAGTAGAGTGTTGATTTTATCCCAAACAAAAAGTGGCCTCATTTTTGTCGTTAATCCGATAATTTGTTTATTTTCATTGTTATGGTATTAATATTAATCTAATTTCATTTTTAATTATCGTAACAATTTATCGTAACTATTAATTTCTCGTTTGTTGACAATCTTTCTGATTGTTTATCATTCATTTGTGATATTGGACTTGGAGACAATTTAATTGAACATGAAATGTTTAATTTATATATATTATTATTTAGGATAAGATTTTGTTGATTACAATTTTATTACAATTAAGATTAGTTAATTTAAGATATTGTTGTCGTTGGACTTTCCCTTTGACTTGAGTTATCATCACAATCACCTTGATCGTTACTGATATTCACAGAGATCTCATCAGTATCTTCATCATCTTCCTGATCATCATTATGATTGGAATCATCATTAGTTGTCTCAATATCAATATCGATTTCACTTGATTTCCGTTTTAATGTTTTCGATGGTTTACAATTTACCGTTAATTGTTCAGAGATAACGGGAGATAATTGATTCCTTTTTGGACTTGGTGATCTCGAACTTGTATCATTATGATTATCATTCTCATTGGTTGTGATACACTTTTTATCCTTGTGATTAATTTTCGTGTTATTATTGTTATTGAGGTTCGAGGAGTGAACTGTTTGAATGTGTTTCTCAAGAAGATACTCAATGTGAAATTCATCAGGACAATATGAACATTTAAAATATTGACATTTAGGAGTAAACATTGAGAAAGGATTAACAAGATTACTGGTGGAGGAAACTAACGAAGAGGGCAAATGATGATTAAGGTTATTGAAGGCACTTGAATAGTGATTATGGTTAAGGTTGTGGTTGTGGTTTAGATGGTGATGTTGATTAGGGTGCGAGTGTGAGTGATTATGAGAATGAGAATGAGGGTGAGAATGAGTGTGAGAGTGAGAGTGGGAATGATACGGCGATGAGACTAGATTACCATTAGTATTTGGTGAAAAGTGCGACACTTTAAGATGGACTTTGAAATCTTCTTGATTGGACCAAAGTTGATTACAAATTGAGCATTTGAATACTTTGCACTGGTTCGAGTGTTTCACTTGGAAATGGACTTGCAAGGAAACGTCAGTGTCAAACATTTCACGACAAATTGAACATTGGTACAAGTGATGGGAATGATAATCGATTAGGTGTTTGGTTAGATCATCTGATTTGGTGAATATCTTTTTACAAGATTCACAGGAAAACGATGAAACCATTGATCCTAAATGTGAATTGATTATATGAGATTCAAGTGATTCACTTGTAATTATTGATTCACAATAAGGACAAGGTAAAGTAGATGAAGATGATGAGGAAGATGTTGATGATGATCTTTCAATAGGTGAATTACCATGATGGTGATGGTGTTGATGATGATGTTGAGGTGGTGGTAAGGGTAATGGTAAAGGTGGAAGAGTAGGTGGATGAGGATGAGAAGTAACAAGTGAACCAGATGAATGAATTAGACCAGCAGCCAAATGAGACTTTAAATGAACTCGAAATGATTCAAAATCAGGGAAAGATGATGAAGGTGAACATTGATTACAAAAGAACGGAAGATTTGTTGAATTAAATGATGGAGATGAAGATGCTGATGTGTTGATCATTAAAGGTCCATTTGTTGAAGTAGATGTTGGATGTTGCTGATGATGATGAGGAGATGAAGATGATGAAGATGAGGAGGGTGAAAGGTTCATCAATGGTGACATCAACTTGGGACGTTTAGGTGAACCTCCTTGGGGAGATGGTGATTTACATTTTCCATTGGACAAATTAAGAGTTTGCTTATCATCCTTACACTTGGAACCATTATTATTACGAATGGTGGGTGATGAGGATGTTGAGGAAGAGGAAGATGATGATGATGAGGCAGCAACCGCCGCTGCTGCTGCTGCAGCCGCAGCGACAAGCCCAGGGTTCGGTGGTGGGGGTGGTAGTGTTGTTAATTGTTGCCAATTAGCAAATGCCGAAGCTGAATAGATTGAGTTCTGTAATAGCCCAGCGAATAGTAATTGATGCAAATGAGATTCACGAATATGAATATCAAGTGATGCACATTTATTACCACAAAGACCACAAGTAACTTGTTGTTGTTGTTGTTGATTAATTAAACTTTTTGTATCAAAATTATCTGACCTTCCATTGACCTGGTCAGTTATCTGTAAATAGAAAACGATACATTGAGTAAATATGTAAATTCTTGATAAAATATCGAGAGTTAAAATGTATTAATATTCTTGTATTTGATTTGCTATTTGATAGATTTTTGTTGTTTCTTGTATTAATAGATTAGGAGGATTAATGTTAAACCGATTAACAGATAAACTTTAATCTCTAATTTACCTGTTGGTCAGTTTTAAAGGTCATTTATGTTTTGTTTTATTGTCTTACAAAGTAAATAAGTGAATTACCTTTGTCTTTAGTTTTTGATGTTCGAGGCTCTTTTTAAATGTATCGACTCGTTGGTCAATTGTTGTTGATGGTGATTTTAATGATCGGTGGATAGTTTTCTCGTTTAATAGATTGTGATTGTTGTTCATCCCAATTAAAGGTTTTTTCATATCTAAATTAGTTGATTCTGTTGACATAATACTTGATGGTGTTAGAATTGGTCTAATCCTTGTTGATCCGTTAACTGTTAATCCATTTTGTAATCGTTTACAATTCTGTTTGTGGGAAGTTAAAGCGGCGGCCGTTGAATAGCCTCGATTACAAGTTGTACATTGGTGAGGTTTCATGTGATCATGAGTTTTCATGTGAATTTTAAGATGATCACTTCGAGAGAAAGCGGAATCACAATTATTACATTTATATCGACGATCACCTAGAATTTTGTTGGACAATTCAAGACAAAAAAATAGAGAGACAATCAACAATCAATTGAATCGCTTAATCGGATTATAACAATCAACTTACCTGTATGAATTTTAATATGACGATCACGACTTCGTTTGTGTTTAAATGTCCGTTGACAATATTCACAACGAAAAGGCATCAAAGTTGAATTAATTTGTTCTGATGTAAGAGACATGATGATGATAAGATTTCGGGAGAAAAAAAAAGTTAACAACAGAAAATATTAAGAGAGAGAGAGAGAGAGAGAGATAGAAAATAAATTGTATCGAAAAACAAAATAGTAACAACAAGATAATTAACAACAAGAGATTAATTGTTCAATTAATCAGTTTTATCCATGATGATAATCCGAGAACTAGAATATCAATTGGAAAGAATAAAAAACCAAACAAAATTATGAGAACGGAGGAAAAATGAAATAAGCGTTTAGATGAACGTCAAGAGAGAAACTAAAACCACTTCTTGCTTATTCCCTGAATCGGCTGGTGGCGCTTATCATCTTCCTTATCATCATCATCATCTCTTTCTCTCTCTCTCTCTCTCTCTCTCTCTCTCATCTCTCTTTCTTTTCCTTCTATTTCCTTTATCTTCTCTTTCTTTTCTTCACCTTTTCTTCACGTTATCTCTATATCAACCTTTTCCTTCATCTCCTATAAACAACAACAAGAAGATGAAGATGAAGAAGAAGAAGATGATAGAGATTGAGAGAGAGAGAGAAGATGATGAAGAAGAAGATGGAGAGAGGATAATAAAGATTGTCTGTCTGTGGGTGGCATAAGAAGAAGATGAAGAGAAGGCGAGGGTTAGGGTGCCTCCGCCGGCCATTTAGGGTGGTCCGAACTTCTTGTTGCTTTATTATCCACTTTTTTCTTCATCTTTATTAGAGTTTTTTTTCTCTCTTCTCTTTCTAATTTTCTTATCTCTCTTTCTTTTTCTCTCTTTCTTCCAGATCATCCTCATTTTTTTCTTCTTCTTCATCACCATCATCACCATCATCATCTTTATCATCATTTCTCTTTCTCTTTGAACTCAATTTCGAGATGTAAAAAAAGGATTGAAACACCTTGATAACCTTGAGAGTCTCTTGGGAATGAAGAAAAATTTTTCTCAACTCAATTAATATTCAATTGGAAACAATCAGTTGATTGTTCATTGACTTAATGTTTATTCAATTACTTTTTCTCCATTTATTTTTTTTTCTTTCTTCTAATTGTCTCAACCTGTTGATTATTTTACGAACCATAAATCAACTAATCTAACAATTAAACTAATTATTCAATTGTAAGGAAAATTGAATCATTGAATCAACTGATTGGAGAGAGAGAAAAGAGGAAAGAGAAAAAAATTCTCAACAATTGAAAATTAAGAAAAAGTTTTATCAATGAATTTTCATGTTAATTGAGATATCGAAATGGTCAATAAATAAGATAACAAAATGTCTTAATTAAATTGTTAACCATTGACATCTCAATTTTGTATAATTTATTTTGAACATCAACCAATGTAAAATTATATCTTCTCAAGGTAGTGGTTAAAGATGATGATGATGAGGAGAGAGAAAGAGAGAGAGAGAGAGAAGATAAACAAGAAGAAAGTAGCTACTATTAGAAGAGGCTCTTCTTCATCTCGCCCAAATTAAAGGTAAACCATGACCCAAAGAAAAGGTTCCTTTGGGTAGGGGCAAGAAGAAGAAGAAGAAGAAGATGATGATGATGATGATAAAGCCTGAGGTAGAAAAGAAGAGAAAGCGATTGAGGGTGAGAAAAGAAAGAGAAATAGATAGAAGACTTTTTGCCCTGAGGGAAGCAGGTGAAATGATTCACTAATAGAGACATCAGCATCATTGAGAGATGATAATGATGATGATTATGAAGAAGAAGAAGAAGATGATGATGATGATGATCATAGAGCCATCATAGAACCACCCTGTAACCATTATGATTATTCTGGATACCACCATGAGAGGAATTAACTATCAACTCAAAATCGCCCAACAATTTTCATAGTTACAATTGACCTACGTCAAGGTGAGTGAGAATCAGAGATGATGATGAACAAGAAGATGAATAAGATGTTGAAAATGATGATGATGATAAAGATGAAGACCTCTCATTGAGTCGAATAATAATGATACGACCTTGGCTTTGCTCTTCATCATCATTCTTATCTTCATCTTCTCTCTCTCTCTCTCTCTCTCTCTCTCTCTCTCTCTCTCTCTCTCTCTCTCTCTCTCTCTCTCTCTCTCTCTCATCTTAGGATTTAGTGACCTGAAGATGTTTTACTTTTACCTTAATAATAGACAACATTGAGAAAAATAAGTTATTATTACAGATAAAAGTAAAAGATGAGGTGTAATTAGGAGATGATGATGAATATGAAGATGAAGATGTGGATGATGAAGAAGATTATATCCTTAGGGGATTTTATTTATCTTCTCTTTCTTGTCTTTCTTTTTTTTCTCTCTTTCTCCTTCCTTTTTGTAAACAGATTTACCTTTTTTCTTTCTTTACCTTTGCTCATTTAATGTGAGCACCCAAGTGATTTGTTTCCTTATCTTTATCTTCATCATCATCATCATCATAATTATCTTCTTATCATCATGATTATCATTAGATGTATTTTTATTTTCTTTAGATTGTTAATGATAATCAAATTTTAATCGCAAATAGAATGTTACCTTTTGTTACTCTCAAGATAAGTGAAAGTGGACATAACTGACCAATGGAGTTTTCAAAGAACCACAAAAATGAATGATGACCACACGGAACCATTTCAATATCGCCAACACTTTTCCTTTTCTTTCCTCTTTCTGGCTGACCCATTCTCTACTTTTCTACTTCTATTGACCCAATGTTTCTCTCTCATTCACTTTCTCGTTCAATTGACCCTTTGGTCAACGGTACTGATATTGACCATATGGTTTGGGGTCACTAATAAGGCTCGAAAAAGTCAACTGATCTTCTGTCATTTGAAGATGAAAAGATGTTATTGATGTTTAATGGTAACTATGATTCTTTGGTGTTGACCAATTGAACATTCACTTGGATAAAAAGAAAGAGAGTTGACCATAGTGACGGCGAACCCAGTTGATGACCATCGTTACTCTTGCTGCTTGACCAAAGACCTTTGACCATTTCTCAGTTTGCCTTAAAATCATCAATACATTATAATGGTCAATCATTTTTCTTTTTCTCTTTTTCTCTTTTTCTTTTCTCTTTTCTCTTTTCTCTTAATACTTTCTTTCATTTTCTTTTCTCTAATGAACTTACTTGGACACCTAATTTAGAGTAAAAACCTTAAGCGGTCATCTTTATCTTCCATCATCATTCTTCCCCACTGACCCAACCTTTATACATTCTCCAAGACCTTAAGTCACCCTGTGTGAATCTTTTTTACCCTAAGGTTAAACTGAAATATCTTCATCATCATAATCATCATCTTAGTCTTCATCTCCTTTAATTGGCTTCAGTTTCAAGTTTTTACTTTTTCTCTTCTCTAACCAGTGTTACCTTTGTCAGGTCACTCTCTCCCTTTTCTCTCTCTCTCTCTCTCTTTCTTTCTTTCTCTCTGTCTCTCTAGTTCAAAGGTCAAAGGTTCTTTCTTAGTTTTATATATAATATAAAAAAAGATACAGAATTGAACATATTATTATTATTTAAGTAGATTATAAGAAAGGTAAATATGAATAAAGAATCAGGAGTAACATTGAAGCAAAATTTGGTAGACAAGGAACAATTAGTTTCGCTGTTATATTTATCATCTTCATCTTTACATTTGCTATCCGATGGATATCATCATCATCATCCTCATCTTTTGCTGCCCAATTTTCATCGGTCAAGCCCCTTTCTTCATCTTAATCTTCTCCTTTCTTCTTCAAGTGAATTGACCGGTAACATCTTAATTTTTATGGTTTGGGATAGTCTCTCTCTCTCTCTCTCTCTCTTCATTACCTGGGCTCTCTTTCTTAATCATCTCTATCTTCTCATCACTATCATCATTACCATTGCAATGTCTCCATAAAAAAAGTCAGTAACATATAATCATGAAAACAAACAAAAAATGCAAATTAACCTGAGGGCTTAAAGTGCGAAACAAAAACATTTGGTGTAACATTACACCAACTGGACATGAATGGACATTGCAAACGCTAAAATGATAACTTAATCAACAATATAATTACAACCAATGAGTAGTAAACAACAACGACAACAAAAACAATCAATGAGATAATCATTTGTAATCAACAATTTAACAACCAAAAAGTTTACCAAAAGTTGATTGAGTAAAAAATTGATTAGTAAATTCAATTAATTGATAAACTTTCCTAATTAATTTAATTCTCTTGCCAAGTTACAGATTAAGATTAATTTCCAAACTTATCAAAAAGATGAAGATGAAGATGTTCATGTTATTTTTTTCGCTTCTTCATTCACGTTATTGGCTATTTCATCCCAAAGAGGGATGATGATGATGATGATGAAGAAAAAAATTGTTGAGGTAATAAGGTTTATTTCTTCTGGGTGGTCGATTCATCTTCTTATTCATCTTCCCTTTCATCTTCATCCTCATCATCTCTATTATCATTATCATCGGAAAAAAATGGACTCTACAAAAGGCCAGAAATGTTTTTCTCTCCAATCATAGAGATTCAACTTTTAGGGTCTTAGGTCAACCAGGGTAGAGGGTCAAGCGTCAGTTTAACAGTATCATCGCTGGAATGGTTTTTAAAAGATTGGACGGACAACCGACTGACCCAAGATGATTTAAGTAAATCACTATTTAGTTAATCATTTGATAAATTGATTAATTGCTTCAATTTTTCCATCCATTAAAAGATATTTAATAAATTATCAACTTCTATGATCAATGGTCACCTAAACCTCGAGTGGTGGTCAAATCTTATCAACGACATCAACTGTCAACTCGTTGCCCTTGGAAGATAAATGTAAATAGACTTGGACTCTTATGGACATTATAAATTTCATCCAAATGATGAGACGATAATTATACAATTGAGACTAATTAATATTTGATAATAAGTAATAAATTGTTATCGTTTGAAAATGTTTGAGGAGCAAAAATATTATTACATTGACCGTGAAAGTTTCGTCTCTTGAATTTTAACAACTGACCTGATGTGATTTATTTTGATCGCTTCTAATGTGACCTTTTCTGCTTAAAACTTGATCGCTAACTAGGTGGTTTAATTGTTGATTGTTGGTACAAATTATTGAAACAATTGTAGCCACTTAAATTTCTGTGATGATTTAATGGGATGAGAGTCACAACCATAAAGACATTTCTGAACTAGTTAACGACCCAAGATCCAGGCCAAACTCCGACCCGATGTAATTACTAAGACGAAACCATTAATCATATCGTTTAAATTTTGGTCAATTTCACTTTAGCTTTTAAATGTTTTCGAGCAAAAGAAACCCAATGG